AATCCTGTGTTCCACAACAGGTTTCTCTTGCTTCAGAGACAGTATGCTTCCAAATTTCCTGAAAGCTTACTTTTATAATCATGTAGTAAAACCAGAAATTTTCCGCAGCAGAGAGTTTACTTCTTCATTTAATGGTTGCTGCCTCCCAAATCAACATTTTTTTATAGAGGAGGACACACAAATGCCTGGAGTATGGAAGGATTCACAGCTGTTCAATGGGGTTGGGACATTAGTAGTAACATACATATATAGAAAATAGAGGCTATTTTATGGAACAGACAACATGAACTTTACTGCTATTGGCAAAGAATTTTTTGGAGGCAAAACATAGAGCCTTCCTAAACCAACACAGATATCGGCATCTGATTCCATTAATGTCCCTGAAGTATCCCACTAATTTACTGTGATATAGCTATTCCTATTTTCCTGATTCTAAACTACATCTTTCATTGCCTAATTAACCAAAACTCCATGAGAATGAACAAGCACATCATTTTGCTGAAGTCTGCCCAGCTGTCATCTGTAACTTCTAACCCAAGTAAACCTGAGTTAGGGCAAATTCAGAGTTGTTTTTTTAGAATAAAGCTCATCAGAATGGAAATAAGCTAAATGGCCAAAGTTAAGGTCAGTCTGGTGTGTTCTGTACCGGGTTTAAAAATTGTTTGGTGGAAGGATTTCTTTTCCTTGCCTTTGGCTGTGCTCCCAAGGCACTACATGGGATCCCCTGGGGCTTAAGGAAGCCCCTGTAGAGGCAGCACAGGCTGCTGGCAGCACCTGCTTGCCCTTGGGACCACAGCAGGGAATGCTGACCACAGGATGGGCAATCTGTACTGAATACTGATGGGGTCATAAACCCAAAACAGCACTCAACACACAGCTGGCAGGAGAAAAAAAATGGCTTTGTTGCTATTGCCTTCTCCAAACATACTGGCTTGGATTTTGGGCTATGCCTTGGTTGCAGTGCTTTGGAGCAGAGGAAGACACTAGGCAAGAGCTGATGTTAAGCTATCTTTAGGCCCCATCAGTTCTGCCTGGCTGATCTCTCTTCCAGCATTAGACCAGTGTCAAGAAATCCTGCTTTCCCGCTCATGCTGGCCCTGGAGAGCAGTTCTGGGAGCTGCGATCTGCTCTGCTGTGGGCGGAGGGCCAGCCCAGGCATCAGGGTGTGCGCAGCTGTGCTTCCAGCAGCAAGGGATGTGGCAGGGCTGGAGCAGGAAAAGCAGTGCTGGGGGCCACAGGGAACTGCGGGGGCTCTTTGGGCTCTCCCGCTCAGGCAACAACAGGCTGGCTGGTGGGGGAGCCGCCATTCTACTTCATGGCCCAGGGCCCCATCCAGCCCCCCATGGCCGAGCCCTCCTTTGCTGCCAAGAGACCTTTTCAGCCAAGTGCTGTCCCCACTCCCAGCTGCAGCGTAGGTGGGGGCTCTCTCCAGTCTGCCCAGGGTGTGCTGGGACCAGGCCTGCCATGGTTCAGGGCTTGATTCCAGGGTTTGTTTCTGTTCTGCTGTTGGAATTATGGAAAGCTGCTGGGGAGAGGAATGAGAGGTTGCTTATCATTTTTCAGTTGACAGTCCTCAGATTTCTCTTTGTACATTTAAAGAGTAAACCCACTGTGATACAGACTATTGTTATACATCCAAAAATGTGGAAATGGTACATCTTTGTTTAAAAAACCACCAACATTTATATCTTGAAACATTCATCAGCTGCTCAATGAGACAGCTATCTGCATGGCTTTTCTTCCAAGAAGAAATTAAATACTTCATCTTCGAAAAATCCTGTAAGCCTGTTTACTGCTTTTTAAAACCTAGATAAAGAAAATAACCTCTGATAGTCTTTAGATCATCCCAGTTGACAGTATATCAATGAACATGTCGTTATCAGATTATAAATGTTGCTATTTTTATGAGTCTTGCAGTCCAGTTTTTGCCAACCAGCCCCGTCTGTATCTCGGCCGACATCTCTGCATTAGCTCTGTGCCTTCCTTACAGCACAGCATGCAAAGTTTTGTAACTGCCTTTGCCTCAGCAGACATTAGCAGCTCTATTGCCTGTATGAAATGATACGCTGGGATGTATTTCTTTACTCTGCTGCAGTGATATCTGCACATGATGACTACTTGGAGACAAAGAACCATGTCAAAAAGAAAGCAGCTTCAGAAAGTTGTGGGAAAATGCTGCTTTGCTCTCAGCAAAGAGTGAGTTTAAAATATCTAACTGCTCCATGCTGAATACATGATAGGACTGCTTCCAGAGAGGAAAAACTATTTAGTCCTTGCAGAGGATATACAAGCCCTTGAGGCAAGCAGACATCTTATGGATCTGACTCTGAGGAGTCAAAAACACCCTAGCAATCCCAAGGAAGATTTCTACAAGGTTTTTCATTTTTTTGGAATACAGAGTCTCTACTGTTCATTTGGTATGCAGAGAGATTGCACCCACAATTCAGAATACACTGAAATACCAAAATTTTGCAGATATGAAAAAAATAGATGACTGTATATGTAGATAAATAAAATTTATAAATATAGATTATAACAAAGCCATGCAACCCCAGCCAGCCTTTCAAGTAGGTTGTCCATCTTGACATTTGAGCTTCTGAACATTGTGTTTTACAGAACACCAGATCCCCATTTCCCTGCATCAGCCCCTGCTTTGGTCTTTTGCCAGGATGGCAACATTTAGAAATTTCACAGCTGCCTTTTCCCATGTTATGTGAAACATTTTGCACTTAAGAAAGAAATTATCTTGACGTCACTGGGATATAAAGAAAATGCTGCATCCATGTTGCTGGTATAGGTGGGAAGGAAGTATTATTTAGAGTCCAGAAGTGAGGGAGAGAAAGGAGGAGAAGGGGTTTGTGTCAGCCACCGACTGCATTACAAAGGCATTAGTGACAGGTGGGGACAGCATGCACAGAAAGAGAAAGAATATAAAATAGCTAGTCACTGCTTTTACCACAAAGGCCAGGCCTTGGCAGTTTCTGCTACTGAAGAGAATTAGACAGAAACAGTCTCCCCAAGCATCCTATGATGCCATCTGGCTTATTACAGAGGAAATCCCCATTGGCAGTCTGGGGTTTTTTTCCTTCTTTTTCTTCACAACAACCTGAATGAGTGCCAAGATTATTTCTCTCTCTCATGCTCCTTCTCTTTGGCATTGAAACATCACTCTGTGGTAAAAGGGAAATATGCGCTGCATTGGCTCAGATGAAGGCAGCAACTTAAGGAGCAGGAGCCTTTACAAGCTTTGAGATGGAAGCAGGGCTGATAAAGGAGATTAAACAATCTGAGACCCTTTTGATGAACAAACTGAACCATCTTGGTGCTGAAAAAGTAGAGATATAGTTGATAGCTCTGATATACTGTCTGTGCTTGCCAGGAGAGCTATCTATTTCCATTATTAGCCTAGAGGGTGATGCAGGCAATGAAAGTGAGTCACCAAACAGGAGTTCAGGTGAGATGAAGGTAGCGTGAGCAGGGAGCACCTCTTTATTACAATTCTTCAAATCACCCACTGTGGGTAATTACTTTGTCACCTCCTTGTCCTTTCTGCAAGGTTTCCTTTCCTGAGATTAGCAATGTGCATGCACAACAGTGGTCTGTATCTGACAGACAAAGAGACACAAGTATGTGGTTAGTTTTAATTATTTTTCAGCGAAACATCCACATAAGATGCAGAATGGAGCTGATTTAAATTACAGCTTGCCTGAAAACTGTGATTGACCTGCAAAAAGGTCCTACCATGTTTAAAAAGATTATTATACTGGAGGAAAATGTTGAATATTTTGCCAGACACTGAATATTAATTCTTATCCTGAATACCTAGGTTTTTTTTTGTGTGTGTGTGTGTGTGTAGTAACACATGCATATACACAAAGCTAGATTTTGTATATATTTTTTATTTTTTAAGTATCCTTTTTTCTAGAAAAATAACTTGGTTTGTGAGTTCCCCATAATCTCAGTAGTCTTTTCATTGCAGAAATATTTGCAATGAAGAGCAGCTAACAGTTTTGGTTTTTTTTTTTGCAACCTAATAATTTTCATATCAGATTGAAATGTTAGTGAATATTTTGTAAATAATCTAGTGTACATCTGGGATGTATATATGTCCTGTATGGAAGTTTGTCCCTTATTTTCACACTCTGGTGAGGTAGGACACTTGCTCAGTTCTGGCCCTGATATGATGCACCTTTCTTCAATCTTTGTTATTACCCTATCCTCTATTATCTGTGGGTAGAAACAGAGCAGCCACATCTCCCCATCTCCTTCTGCTTTTTGTCCAGTCATAAAACTAGAGGTCTGTCTCTCAGCCATGCTGCTTTTTAAGATTGTGCTTCAATTGCATTATTGTTGTGTTTTCTTCCTTCTTTCCTGCAGTAAAAAAGCCACTGAAGTATTTGCTTTAAAAATATAGAGCTTGTTCAAAGTGGTTATGTTGTGGGTAAAATGACCTATTGGTACCCAGCCATCTGGGAAAGGGGTGTTTAACAAACATAGGTAAAAAAGCAGAGCACTCAGCAGGTTTGGGAGAATGGTATCAGATGTCTGCAAAGCAACTGTTCTTATGTTAACACTGGTGCTTCCTGGCTTTGAAGTGTACTCTAAGTGCATGAAGTGTACTGCCTACAGTCCAGGGGGTTTTTGCACTTTCTATTTCACAGTGGAAGTTTCTATTATTCCTTTTATCATGTAACAGCCATATCTAAATTCAGAAAATATTATCAACTGTTCCAGGAAGAAAAATCTTAATTCTGTCACAGAAAAAGGAAAGAAAGGTTAAAATAGGGGCTCTCAGGTATTACCAGGAGCATCCTACTGCTACAAGAAAAAAAAAAAAAAAAAGTAGTAGAAAAGGAAAGAAAGTAAAAAGGGAATTTAGTACTGGGTGTGAATAGGGAAAGATGAGTTATGCTGTTTGCTGACAGATTTTGGTTTTGACATAAGATCCACATATTTTGTTTATTAAGAGTGTTTTCTATTGTTATAAATATTTCTGGCAGTGGATTTTAGCTCTTCCCTGGGATACTTCACCTGCCTGTGAGAGGACCTGGCTGTATGCACACAGCAAATACCTGGGGCAGCTGCCCTGAAGTCACTGAGTGGAGCCTCTGTGCAAGCCATTCATCTCTCCTGCAGAACTGAGAGAAACCTGAAACTGTTCACAGCCAGAGAGACTGAGGTCAGTTTGCAGAGGTGTCTTTGAGGACATGCCCTTTATGGCCTCTGTGCGGGATAACCTCACAGTGAAGGGACTGAAATCTCCTTACAGAAAACTACTTTGCAAGTCTCAGCAAACTGTGATTTGATGATCTCAGCAAAGAATGGCTTTGTCTGCAGGGCTTGGCTCTCCCCCTCCTCGTGGTGGATCCTGCTGCAGGTGAAGTGGCATTGACTGCCCTGGGTTTGTGCTGCTCAGGGCCAGGCACCCCAATCTGCATTTACAGGGGTGCAGCTGGAGGGCACAGAAAGGAGGAAATGTGGGCAGAGAGCCCTGGGGAAAGACCAGAGAGTTGGGAATAAAACTTTCTGCATCCTGGCCATCGATCTTTGTGCAGGTGGCCTCTGGAAGGGACTGTTTCCCTAGACCTCATCCTGGTTTTTCCAAAGGGAAATTTCCCAGACAGAGCTTCTGAGCCACCCCCCACTGATGAAACAGGGGGGATCAGTCACCAAGATTTGGGAGCCAGTGGGGAGCTGGACTAGTTGATGGTAGAACTGTACCTAGTAGTAATAAAAGCTCAAGATTTTATTAAAGGTTTGCTACTGTTTGATCACTGCTAGTCAATATACCAGCCCGTATCTGAGGAACCCTTTCCATGAAGTTTGAAAAATGAAAAAATAAAATAGCCAACATCTAACCTGACAAACTCTTGCTCCAAAGCTAGCCCAGGAGTTAGCTTATTCAAATCTAATGAACTGCCTCACTGTTTGAACAGTGCTGATAAGTTTTTTGATAAAAGACCTTGTATTATTGCTTTTACACTGTTATATCGTCCTTGCAAAAGACAAATTGCTCAAAACAGAGGACAAATGTACTTCCTTAGAAGTCTTTTCACAGAAAATATATACAAAATTAATGAAATAAATGAAAAAGAAACACATAATAAACAAAAGAATGACATTTATGTGCAGGAGACATATAAAAATTGCCTCTGCAATAGAAAAGACATCTTGATTGTGAAATTGGCTACTGTTGGAATAGCACAATTTTAGTAATCTCTCTATCCCAAGCACAATATTTTATTCTTATTCTCCTTCAAATCCATCACTCAGTTTACTCAACTATAGGAGTTTTCTCCCACAAACATTGTACTGACTGTATCAGTAATTTATATCTGATAAGAAATGAAAATATTCATGGATTTCTGCAAACTATGTGCTGGAAGTGTGTCACAGATTAATGAATAGCCCTGAGTATCTGAAGGTATTTGTGTCTTCTGTTATCTTTAAAAAGACAGATTTTGAAAACTCGTGACATCTAAATTTTTTACATTGTTATAGTAGACTTAAGTATTGCAGTTCCTCCCTAGGAAATGAGAAGATATTCAGAGACCAGCAGCACCACAAACCCAGGTTCCCCCTTTCTCCTCTCCTGCGGACTAGGAGGTCTTCTGGTTACTGTGTATAGCCTTTGCTGGAATTTGTGAGTCTGAGATGTATTTTTGCATTTTCATTCAAATACTGGGCCTGGAAAACAGGTATTTGGAGAAATTAGGGGACTGCCTGGTCACTGGAGTTCTCCTTTCCCCAGAGCACACATGTATACCCTGATCACGTGTGTAAGGCTGGCCCATGCCATGGTCGAAGCCCTTGGAAGCTGTGCAGACTGCATTGCTGTCTCTGCCCACCTGCAGATGCTGAATGCCATGGCTGAGCCTGCTGGACTGCAGAGTTTGCCCTGGAATAGGGCAGCACAGAATGCATCAGGTCACTTTGCAGTTGTGGAGAGTTTCTTTTTTTTAATCTCAGGTAAAATAAGAAGGACATGCATTATGCAACCTAAAGGCTGGGTGTGGACAGAGGGTGGATGATACCAAGATTCTGGGGCTGGGTCCTTACCTGCTCTGCTTACCCAAAAGCACAGGAAGCACTAAAGGTACACCAGCTCTTGCTGCCCCCTGCAAATCCATCTGGCTGTGAAAAACCCACCCATGGTGCTTTGTTCAACTGCTGCTGAATGGGGAGTTCCAGGACAGTTCTTATCTTTCTGAGTGCAATCACATTAAGAATAGTTCAGCTCTTTCTCAGCACTGTGTCCAAATATTTTGTATGTACTGTAGCTTAGCAATGCCTCCCAGGAAATATTACTCTGTCAGTAGGCAAACAATTGCTTAGCTTGAAAGAAGTGTAATTATTTAAGGCATGCACAAATGTTTTTGGCTGCGTGGTGCCATAACATTATTAACTGTGGGGGAAAAGCTAGCTAGCTCTTTTTTAGAAACCATATTACCATTGTCCTAAAATGCAAAATTGCTGTAAGTCCTATTCTGACCAGAATTCCACATTTGCTCTTGATAGAAGATTGGATTTCAGAGCAGGATTAAGTAAATAAGTCATATTAAAATGACAAAATGGGTAAATAGAATATAATGTGAAATGAAATGTAAATTGGATTTAGGCAAACACTTTTATACAGACCTCCCGTCAAACCCTATCAGACTGCTTCAAATTCCTACTGTGATTTCTGCTCGCAGTTCTATTACATGTTGCCACTCAAGGGCATTTGATGTTTTCTCTCTCTGGAAATTCATTTGCATTTAAATGATTTGAAATAATCATAAAAGCCAAGTGCTATGAAGTTTGAAATTAGTTACTGTCTATAAATTGCGATGCCATTAAAAGATGATTTTGAAGAGCTTTGCTGTCTCAAATGTATGCAGATTAAAATCTAACAAAGTACACCTTGTTACAAAACTGTAAAGAATGGTGTGACATGGACTTAAATTGATTTATTCTCCTACTAGTGCCTATAAACTTTACATACTTGAGCTTCTTCTGAAAGTGGAAAAAACCCTTTCATTTGCCTGCTGATTCTGAGCCAAATTGTGTTCTCAGATGAGGTTTCATTGGGTGTATCTGACACCAGTGCTTGGCCCTCAGAGTTTAATCTATACGGTCTATTAAATTTCTGGAAATGCTGTATGAATAGTTGGGTCTCATAATTTTTTTATGGAGGGAATAAAGGAGTGGGATCAGGAACAATGGAGGCCATTTACAGTTGGCAGCATGCATATGCCCATTTACCTGTGTCTGTTCAGTTTTCCCCCTCTCCCTTGAATTTCAATGTTCTCCTGGTAGGGGTTTCTCAAGGATCTTCTCTGAGAGGCAGCTGGTGCTCCTGGTATGTCACCCTGGAGCCAGCCTGGCCTTCTTGCCTGTGGAAAGGTAAAACCTGGTTAGGAGCATAAATACATTTTGAAATACTGAAGCCCCTTTTGAAAGAGAGTTCTTTTCTCCATTCACCTCCAGGCAAGCTCAGGCAAAATAGAGCTGTCACCTCATAAACTCGTCTTCTACCTCGCCTCCCCTAGCACTATTCCACAATTCCTCTTTTAACCTATTCCTGCTCCCTGCCTGTGAGATCTTGGAGCAGTATACTGCCTAATATAAATTCCTACTCTTTCTTTGTTTATACCATCGGGATATTATAACTTCACATTTTTGGATACCAACAGTACATTCCAAATATATTTTCCTATCCCCAAATAATTTTAAATGGACTTGACCACAAATATATGTACAACTATGTCTAGCTGTATAAATTGATCTTAAGATGTTTGTAACGAGGAAAGTGAAGTTGCCTTGGTTTATAGGTCTCAGAACCCATGGATGGAATTACCTCTTTATAAACCTATTTATGTGTGGATTTTTTATTATTCAAAAGAAAGAATGAAGCATGTAGAACCCATCTTAAAGGGCAAGAAAAGGTTTTGGTTTTGTAAATCCAGTATAGTGGTTCAAAAATTCCTGATATCAATTCTTTGAACATGAAATTAGCTTCCAGTCTCTAGTACAATAAAAACTCCTATATTTGTTTGTGTATGAGTGATAAAACAAAACAGCTGTCTTAACCACCTCTTTAATAAGCAACTTTTTTTTTCTCTGAAATTGTCTTAGTGGTTAGTGCAAACTACCAGATAATCCTTCCTGATCAATCCTTAATGCAAATTCAGTCTATGCATGCTAGAGTGGGGACAATACCTCGTCTCTCAAGTAGGGTTTATGGTTGCTACAGGGTCAGATTATTTATAGGGAGTGGGGAAAGTGAGACAGGAGTGAGCTGATAAGTTTAATACATTATTGTTACTCTAGCATGCACAGGCCTCTTATGTTAGTGTTCTGGTAGAGTCCTGACTGCCTTATTGGAAGGAAAATCCTTATAGATTCACTGTGCAGCTCAGGCTAAATAGCCCCAACTAAAGGATGAGTCTGTTCAGTTCTCATCATTCCTTGGAAAATCAGTTGGAGGACAATGGATTTTGCATAGGAAATGAAAAGTGGGCTATTTGCCCTGGGCCGGTTTTCATTGCAAAAGTAATTCTGGCCTCTACAAGAAACTCCCCTTGCCTGAATTATTGATCCAAGAGCAAGCATTCCTTCAGTCCCAGGTGGTTTCATCTGAGCAGAACTACAGACTGCCAGCATCTTTCTTTCACTGAAATGGCCTGGCCACAACCATGCACTTCAGTCACTTTCTCCAGTCTGCTTCAGGAGCTTGGAACAGGACAATTTTGCCCATATCCATGGAGGGAGAACCCTGGAGCAGCAGCAGCACTGAGAAGCTGGGGATAGTCCCTGGGAGTCTGATCAGTGCCTGAAGTGTGAGAAAGAGCTGAGATACAGCAGTAATTTGGACATTCATCTATTCATTGTTGAACTGATCCAAGTGGTTACTCCAGGTGCCTGCTTTTCCCTCATGAGAGAAAAAAATGCTCTTGAGAAGAGAAAAAAATGCTCTTGAGAACAGTGGATAGTCTGTCTTTCAATGGGAAATCCTTTTTAGCACACTCTATTGAAAAGTTGGAAGAGCTTTCGTTTGAGCACAGTCCTCCATCACAGCAGGGTTTACTTTAATAAATTAAAAGCTTATGAAAAGACCATTTTTCTGGATGCCTCTTTTACATGTGTCCTTTTAAGAAAGACATCCAATAAATGAGATATGGCCATTGATTCTGTCCTGCTTTAAATCAATATTCACAGACCACTGAAGAAAGTTTTGCAAATCATGTGGCTTTGAGAACTCTTACTACTCAAAACAAGACTTGGCAAAACAGATAAAAAATTACTCATAACTGCAGATGAAATTGTGGCAGGAGATTTTACTGAAAAACAGAACATTTTACGAACTCAGGGCAAAACAATATCTCCCAGAACATATTGCAATCTGATCTCTGCAGATGTTATTGGAATAATGCAGAGTTTGATAAAAATACATAAATTATACTTTATTGTGGTGGATTATAAAATATGTTCTGAAAGGGATGGTAAGCGCAGCAGGCATTTTGCTTTATCTAGTTTGACAGCACTTCTTTGCCATTAAATGAGGAAGAATAACTTAATATGTGCAAAAGGCAGAGAAGGAAAGGGCCTAGACTGAAAACCTTCCAAAGATAGGGCTATCTACTTGTGTGCTTGCACAGAGCTTAGCACAGAGACCCTTGAGTGTTCAGCACTCTCCCTGGTACAGACAATAGCATAAAGAGCAGGGGAAACTTTCTTTGTTCAAAAATGATAATGTTTTCTTTATATTTTCAAAGCCTCATGTTTTTGGACAGAGCTAAAGTGCCCTTTTGGTTTCATCTGCTGTTTTTTCCTAACCACTCCCTACAGGCATTTTTTTTAGCTCTGCTTTGACCTATGCTAAGGAACATAAAATTTTGGCTCCCCAAACCTGTGTAAGTTCAATATTGCAGCTCAGACCTGTCACTGCACAAGATAGGTTTGAGGGCCAGAACTGCAGCACTGAATTTAAAACAGCGGGAGGTAACCCCATCTCCTACTATGACATTTTTAGTTTTAGGGTTTTTTCCCCTTGGGCATTTCTAAATGTTCTGGAGTAGAAACTAACAGATGGGATTTCTTTAAAAAGATACAAACCACAGCTTAGGGTTTCAATATGACTTTTCTTCTACCAGAAGGTAGGTAATTAATGATTCAATGTGCAGCCACCATACACTGGAATTTAGGCTTCTGGAAATCTCATTTGTAACCATAAGAATGCAAAGGGACACAAAAAGCTTGATTTGTTTTTGTGGCTTTCCCAAGTTAAAATTAAACCTATTACCAAGAGCTGACAATACAATATTGTTGCATTAAAGCCATGTTTATAGTTTTTCATGCAGAATGTTTCCTGTGAATAACGACCTATAGAATTTGTGGTATTTTTTGAAGGCAGAGGTTTAAGTTATTATTCTGCTGTTGCAATATCTGTTTGTAGCCACAGATGCTGTGCCTACTGCCTGTGTATTCTCTCTACTGCCTGCAGTTTTGCTACCCTGCTCACTGCTGTTAATAGGGATATTAGACATTCACCAGACAATACAGTTCCTTTTAGTTATCCAGCAGGAGACTGAATTTTGTGAAGATGCTGATTGTGTCCCAGATTTATATTTCTATAACTCAGCTCTCTTTGGAGCCACTGGGTTGTTTGTTGCACCTCCGTTCTTCTCATTCATTTTTTAGGTTGCTCTGTTAAAAAATTCCCAGCTCCCATTTAGTCAGCTGTAAACAGTAGGCAACTGCTGCAGAGGAAGGTAGTTATGTAATTAATACATTGATTTAGATTTGTTTAATATAAACAGGAGAACAAATTTAAATAAAGGTGAAATGCTTGGTTTCCTCTCTGGAACTCACTCAATGCAGTGGAGAAGTGTACTGGGGCAAAGAGTTGTCCCTTCCTTGCAGAGACAAGAGCCCTGTGCCTCTTTTTGCACTGCCTCCAAGGAATGAAACAGCCTCCAAGAGCATGGCACTAGTCAGAAAAGCAGTAATAGTTCAAGTCTAGAAAGCATTTAACAATGTCCTTAACTTTAAACATTTCTTTTCAGTCCCACCAGCCTCAAAAGGATTTTACAAGGCACTTAACATCCTCTCCGAACAAGGATACTTTCCTGGAGCTGGCCTTAACAAGGGAACTCTCCACTTTCTTTTGCTGTGCAGTCTAATGCTCTGAGTTCTGCCTCTTCTGCTGCCTCTGGGGAGCTGCCCCTGCCTTGGGCGGGAAAAGGATGAAGGCAAAGGGTTAAATAATCCATTGTAATCACAGCTTTGCATCCCATCCTGGCCATCCCATGGCCGGTGGTTTCTCTCATCCATCCACCCGTGGATCTTGCCCAGAAAATGATGGAAGGTCACACGTGGGGTCCCAGCACTTGCCCCAGAGACTGACCACACAGCACAGCTCTGAATAATGAAATGAGTGCGGGGAGGGGTCCCTCAAAAGGCACTGCAGGATTGCTAACTCTTTTTGCATGATTTTGGACAGTTGTTTGTCCACTTCTAATTATGCTTTTACTGTTGATTTAAATTGGAACATTAGCAACATTTTCACATGATCTTTGCTTAGGGGGAAAGCAAGCAGAAGAGTGAACACTGATTAGGGGAAATGAAAGCAAATCTGTTTACTGATAATATATGTGACAACACTGAGACAGGTAAATGGTACTTAGGGATTGCTCTCTGCTCATGTTTATGATCTTCAATATATTTGTGCATTTCTCATTTACTGCCCAGGCAAAGTTTGCATTTCCAAATTACAGATGTATCATGATGATTTTGGTCACAACAAAGTTACAAATTCTGTCATTCAGCAGACCTACCATTCAGTACTTCTGAATGTGGTTTTACTGGTCCCTGTTCTTGTTGGAGAATATACTAAAATTCAGATTAAAGGTAAATGCATTCTTTATGCACTGGATTTTTTCATAGCTTCTCCCTCAGAGAAGATTTTCTTTTCCTCATTTCATCTTGAAAGGTCATTTTAGGAAGAAAAAAGCCCTGTTGCCAACTTTTTAAATAATTATGATCTCCAATAAAATGCCATCTATTTTTAACATTGTACTTTTTAATGTGTCTTTAAAAAAGACACAAGTAGATGACTTTCTCCATGAATAATGTATCATTTCAGAAACTTTGAATGCTATGACATAAATTATCAACTACTTTCCTACTGTTTGCTGATAAAGTGGGGGTGTTTTCCACACACTTTGCAGTCAGATCATGTTTGGAGTCAGCTTCATTTTGTTGCTGTATTTGAATGATAACATTTCATCATAGTTTATGCCACTTAATAGCATAAAATGTCAGAAAGAAATGATCATAACACTTCTGCAGGTGTTAAGTATTCCCTGCCTCTAGCCTGTGAAGTAAACCATGTAAAGTAAAATCTTTTACTGAAGTAAAAGCACTCGGTAAAGTAAAAGCAGACACCATGGCAAAGGTAGTGGGAATAGGAACACAGAGTGTGCCTGGTTTAGCAGAGGAAACATGTAGAAAATGCCCCTTTAAAAATGGCTGTTGTCTTTTAAGGATTTCCAGGGATGGTCAGTATTGATAAAAGCCAGAGAGAGCCCCCAAAGCTGTGTGCAGGGTCTGGTGGAGCACGATGGTTCGACTTTGGAATGGATGGTGAGTGAGCAGAGCAGAGCAGAGCAGAGCAGAGCATCCATGGGCAGGGCAGAAATGTTTCACTATCCTCAGCTGACGGGGTCAACAGCAGTGGTGATGTATTTAAACTGGTAATTCAGACATGAAGCAAGAAAACACTGAAACATTTGAAGAAAAGAATGAGAAGAAAAATGAGGTGCATAGCTGAGACTGTATTGTGGCAGTAAAATTTCCAACTGGCTTAATGTGCCTCAGGAAATTGTGATGTTTAGGATGAAGAGAAGGAGAAAATTAGTGGAAGTGGAGAAAACCAGATAACATTTTTTTTTTCAGGCAAGAAGCATATTAAAGCAAATAAGGAACTGGAGGGGGAGAGTCTGCTGGGACCTGGGGCTTAGCAGAGAAGTGGTAAAGCAAATAGCAAAAGTTAGAGAGAATAAGAGAGATGGGAACTGAAAGGAGAAAATAGCCTCACAGCACGTGGAAGCAAAATGCTGGAGGAGACCCTAAGGGACACCAGTATGGATTTATGTCCTGCAATTATAATTAGTGAAAATGAGGGGATAAAATGAGATTTTGACTATTTAGGAGCACAGAACTATTTCCAAGTTTTAAAGTAAGTTTTATATTGTCCTTGTCTGCTAATTTCTTTCTGAACTCCCTCATGCACTGTTTGTCTTTCCAGAAAGCACCTTGTCTGTGTCACACCCTGGGATGAACTGCACTTGTCAGTGGAAGATACAGCAGGAAGAAAACTCCAGAGAAATTGCAAGATCCATTTGTAACAAGCATAATAAATATCAATAAATTGAATGGTCAGGAATAGCACCTACATAAACAGGATGTGGCAACTGGAGTGAGCATATTAAACTATACTCATCAAATGATCAGATTTGCAGTGGGACAAGAGTATTTATATTTTTAAAAATGATTTATGGCTGTCAGAACCCTGGGAAAAGGTTATGGTTCATGAAGGAGTTGGACAGGCAGAAATGTGACCGTTCTCATAGTTGGAAATCTAGAAATGCGTGGATCGTTTGGAAGGCTCTGGATGCTGCAAAACAAGTCCTATATTGGCACAGTAATGCAACACTTGCAACATCTACATGCCTTTTGTTAAGGAGGACAATGGAAATGTGAGGAGTTTGGGTACTTGAGTCCATGCATCTTGGGAATGTTTATAAAAGCATTAACAAATAAATTAATTAATTAAGGATGGCTGTGCTTTAAGGATGTCTTGCAACTTCTGGCTGCCTTGGAAATCACCCAGTCAAAATCATCAGGATTTTTTCAAATACCTAGTCATTGGATATTTTGCAAAAGCCGTCTAAATAACTTTGGAAAATGAACAGTCTTGGATAACTCAGAAAAGGTGCCTGAATATTTCCAATATTTTACTACATATAATTCATTGTAGACTAACAGCATTAATGTCAAATCCAGCTAGTTGCACAATAATTGAGGAGTCATAAAATGTTTCTGGGAATCACCATGTAATTACCATTGTCTCCAGTGGTGGTACAGGAAGATAATATGCAATATTTCAAGATATTTAATTAAGAAGTGTCAGTGAGTTACCTTGAAGATAACTTCTATCACCCCTGTATGACAGGGTTGTGTATGACTGGATGATGGATGAGTCCCCTCAGTATGAAAGACAGATGAACTGAGGAACATCAACATGATATGCAGAAGTCATTATGATGAAGTGTATATAATTGTTGTTTACTCTTTAAAGGTGACCTACAAATACAATGCTTTATGGTTATTTTTCTTGTCTTCTTTATAATGCAATAAAAATTTCTACAAAGTTCTCCAATAGAAACTGTACATCTTTCTTTCCTTAGAAATTCTTTTCCACTTTGTTTTTTCCCCAAAGACCTCTGACCCAAGAAGGAAGTAACAGGTTTATGGTATCAGATATGAAAGCAAAAAAATATGTTTGTATGAGGGTAATTTCTTATGTGGTCTGCTTTGGATGTGAGAGCTGTTATGAATTCATGTGTGGTTCACTAGTAATATCAGCAGCAAAACCCATCATACCTGTCTTGGGAATTGTAGAAAAAAACTTGTAGCCTTCAGGATGATAATGTAATATGAGATCAGGGGAAAGCAGAAAAGAGAATTTAAAGAAAGATGGGTCTCCTAGTGGTTATTCCTGTCAAAGGAATTAAGAACTACCACTTTCTATTTATGCTATTTAGCATAAACAATGGGCTTTGTGTTCCCTGCTCAAGTCACTGCTCTCTTACCCTCTGTGGACTGCATTACCTTACATTTTGACTAACTGCAGCTTTTCCTGCTGTCACCACACAGCTGACTTGATCTCAGCCTTTAGTTTGGGAATCCTTACCTTTTACTCGACTCTTGCTTACTAGCCCATTTTTCTTCTACTCTTCAGTGCCCTTCTCTGTGGATCCTAAGGTGATAATTACATTAGCTGTACTTCATCACAAGCTTGTTAGGGCCTGACAGTTGATTTTGGCTGACTATAATCAGCCTTGTCCCCACTTGTCATTGTCCCTTTGTGCAGTGGTTGAACATGACTCTTTCTGCATTAGCAAGCAGTGTGCTCCATTAGGAGAGGATCTGCTGAGTGAAATCACCTGCACTGACCTCTGTGATTCGTGTGGTTTGGGGACTTGGTGCTGCCCACAGCCTGGTCCTGTAGGCTGAGTGCTCATTAATGCCTGCAGCACACCTTTGGGTTTGTTTTCATCTGAAAGAGGTTGGTTTGTGTGCTCTGAGATGGGGGTCTTGTGGAAGTCACAGCATGTAAAGGAGAAATGGTTGGGAGATTTAAAAATGCATTTCTGACCATCAGTGCTGATGGAGGTGCCTTTGCTGCTTGCTGATATACCTGCTTCAGCTGCTCTAAAGTGAGACTGGATTCCTGGGGCTTCCCTGTGTTCTGGGTTAAAAGGAAGGTGAAAATATTTTTGTGGTTTTTCTACAAGTAAATATTTTCTTCCTGTGCTCATTTAGCAGAGGACAAAGGCTCTTTATTCTCAGTGTGGGCATCTTGACAAAGTGTAATCTGGATTTATTCCCATGGAAGTAGCTCATTGGTATATCCAGCTCAAAACTAGATCATCTCAAAACTAGAACAGGTGAATCTTGTCCCTTCTACCTCTTCAAGATGGCTGGGGCCTTTTTATTTCCTTAGTCATAAACTTGGACATGAAAAGGAGAATAATTGCATGCATCTACTCTTTCTCTCTCTGCTTTTTTGCATGTCAAAGTACTTGATCTGTATTGAAGTCCATGAGCCTCTCATCTTGAACTGTGCATATAATTAATAAAATTATTATTATAATAAAATTAATAATAAAAATGATTTAATTAGATTCTTTCAGTGAGTATAAATTTAAAATAGGCTACTGGAGTTTGTTGAAAGATCCTACACATGAAGTAAGAATATGTGTGGCTGAGACATCGGATGAGTAAAATTGTGATTGACGAAATTCTCCATTTATTTGACAGGAATATTTATTTGAAGCAAGATTGAAAGCAAGGGCAGAGGCCTAATTTTTGTATTTGTGGCAACCACCAATGCTGGAAGAAGTGCAGGAAGGATCAGAGCTGAGAAGAATGGTTGTGGTGGGTTTTGCATTCATTGGTCATGGGTCATGTGGTGAGAGTAGATTTGGGTCCGTTCTGATTTTTTCACTGAAAAACCACTCATGAGAGGTTTTTGTTAACACAGCATTTGGTTCAATGGGGCTTTGGTTCATATCAGAGATCCCACAAAGGTGCTCAGAGCACAGTGCTGCTGGGAGGGAAGCTCTCACAAGTGCTGTATTTGCTCATTTTTCTGTGATTCTGAATGTGACCTTGTGTAAAACACATGCAAGCTGACTTTGAGTAAACTATTGTTACATGAAAATGTGGCATCACTATTCTAAACTCTTTATCTCTTTCTTTCCTATGTTTTTTTTTTTCCTTTTCTTATTTGCAAGTCTTTTGTGGAATATCATTATTTAATTTATTTCATTCTGCATTTTTTTCCCCCAAATGTTTCTTAAATAAAGCTCTTTTCTTTTTTTCTGCATTGTAGGTCAAGGCTAGAAGCAACAATGATGCTTCTCTTTTTTTCTAACACAAACATACACTTGTGAAGACTCATAAAGAACTTTAATACCAGTAAGCACAAGTAAAGCTTGTTGACTGCGCAGGAGACATATTTGCAGACAGAGTGAAAGCATAAACAATGTGTGATCATTGTTCCAAATCAAAAGAAGGTCAGCACTATGTGAAAAGTTTATAGGCAACACACATGACAAAAGTACCTTGAGATGTTAGAAGTTAACAGCCAGATCTTCAGCTATTAAAAAATGCTGTTAACACCACTGATATTGCTGGATTTATAGCAATCCATACCAGACTGTCCTGGCCTTCTGATTTTTATTCTGCATTTTACACATAATTTTTGTCATCAATCTCCATTTATGTCAATGACAAATGCATATTTCACACAGTCACAAGTAGACAAAGAGGTGCATTCATTGTTATAACTGATAAATTAGTGTCTTTGTTCAAACAACTTGCATTTACATTCACTGTTAGAGAAGGAAAAGCTTCTTAAAAATTTATAAGCTGACTATGCAGGTTAGCTTAAATGTGCAGTCATACAGTGTTGACTCAGAGTTAAATTTAGGAGTGCTTTGCAAAACTAGTGGAAAGTAGAGCATTTGTTCAACATCACAGACTTGCAAATGGTTGAGCTAAATATATGGTGAGCATTCAGTCACAGGTCAGGCTCAAACAGTGTGCTCAGAGTGCTCTCCGTGCATTGGTTGGTCTAATTTTGGAGATAATTTTGTGTTTTATTCAAAACTAGACAGGGCTGTGAGGAAAACATGGACCTATAGGATACAGAAAAAGAACATGGACCTATGGGATACAGAAAAGGTCTGATACATAAAGCAAACTTAATGCTCTGCTTCTCTTTGTGTGCCTTATACAGCCATTTCTGGAAAGAGTACTCAGCTAGCTGGGGTTAAGTTCTCTCTGAGCTGCCTGTGAGACACCTCCCACAGTTACAGTGGGCATCCCCAGCCCATCTGACAGCAAAAGGATTTTAGTTATCAATTATTTGTTCAGAGGACTCCCAAAGTTCTTAGCAAACTGGGGCCTGGGCTTTCAAACCCAGACATGTATTGTCTGAGTAAATGTGTAATTCATGTGTGTAAATGCACAGAGTGCTCACATAAATCAGTTGCTCTCATCTACGGGTGACCAGACAGCTGCCTAAATGGCCATGTTCCCATACAAATACCTTATTTAGAGACAAGAATTAGGCCTCCATGATATATGGATGTCATTGTATGCCCTTAAACTGATTAATGGGAAAATGATTTTTCACCCTTTATTTGTTTCACATTCTCCCATCTCCCTCTAACCTGTCCCAGGACATAAAACACTCTAAAATGACCATCTAGTCTTTCAGATTATAAATTCCTCCTGGTAGGAGGATTTGCTTTATGTGTTTTCTCCTGAGAGCCCGGTGTACTCTCCTGTGCCAGGGAAGTGCTTGAGTGCATGTCCATAATTCTCAGCAAGAGCAGTGCCCAGGGGCCATGAAATCACCTGCCAGCCCATCACCTGTCTGCAGAGGTGCTGCAGCCAGCCTGCAGAACAGCACTGCTGCTGGAGGTGTCCTGAGCAGCTTGGTCCACAGAGGCTGAGCAGAGGCTGTGCTGGTACGTGCTGAGCTTGTGCTTACAACAAAGACAATATTTGAAGACTCTTTCTCACCCTTTGTAAAGGGTCCTTCTGTCACAATGCACTGTTGGGGTAGAGGCTCATGCATTCTTGTTAACTGATTTCAGCTAGCAATAACATTTAGTCATACCTAACCAATCTTTTTAAACATGACCAACTAATACCTGTCCACTTAGCACATCAAGTGGCTTGAAAGGCATTGAAGACTGAGATGAGTCCAGATTCAGATGTTACTTGAAAATGAGTGATCAGTACTGCCTGGGCACAGGACCTTTCTGATATGTCATGAAAACGGCTGCAGAGTCCTTTTTGAATTTGTTATTTAGCCAATGACTTGCTGACATCTGAATCTGCACAATTTGTAATGAATAATTTAAACCATAGGGAGCAGAAAGTGTGACTGAATTAAAAGACAAAAAAAAAAGCTTGAAAATGCTTTCATGATACTTTTTCTTGCTTAAAACTTGAAGATCAAACAAGAAAACGTAGTTTAGGATCACTTCACACTGTACAAGGAACCAGCAGAGTTGCAGTGTTGAGCTCATTGGGTTTATTCACTTTAAATGGCATCTCTTTGTAGTCAGTCAGGACAAAGCTGTAGACATTAACAACAAAATATTAAACATTTATTTTGTGTGATTTTACTTGTATTCAGAAGATCATTCTGTAAGCAATTTATGTTACCAGATAGACTTTATTCCAACACTGTGTATGAATTACCTGTTGCTCACCTCTTAATCCTGCTTTTCTGTTTCCTTTTCAGCCAGTCTGAGAGGTGCAGAGATTCAAAGAGTCCAGAGCAATGTTGGAATACAATGCTGGAGTATTTTCTGAAGTTTGTATTGTATGTCACTGCTCTGAGGTTAAGTTAGGAAAGTTCAAGATTTCTGCAGTAACCTTTGTTGTGAAGAGAAGGATTGTCAGACTTGGGGTTTAGGTTGCCAGTTAATGGGCAGTGGGAGGCAAAGGAAGAACATTGTCTCTCTCCTCTCTGAAGCACCACATCCTGGTGGTAGCAGGTGGCTGGATGCTGGGATCAAATAAATCATGCTCTCTTTAGCTGTGATAAATTGCAACACTCCTAGCTGAC